TCGATACGTTTCGTTTTTGTCGACATGGTCAATATTATAACAATGAACCCAGTAAAAATGAATTGATCAGATGAGGGAAGAGCAGAGAGAAGGGTAGATACCTTGCTTGGTGGGATGCATGCTACGAGATGGAGAGAATAGTGGGTCAATTCTTGAAGATGGGACAAGAAAGGAGATTAATTTGATGTAGCTCTGAGCTGTAGTACAAATGTCTTCTATTACACAATCATGGAAGACTGAATCATCATCGATCATGAAAGATTTTATTTGATGGATAACTCATGGTTAGTTGATCCTATCTTAAACCCTTTCTTAATAAAACTTTTCTTTTTTAACTAGGCAAATCTTTGTTTTATAGAATTGGTGATGAAGTGGAAACTGCAGTATTTGGACATATCATCCAGACCCTAATTCTCTGTACCCTCCCTCATCCTTGAGGGTCTAATCAATGGGAGAAGGTCAAGAGGAAGGCAAAGAAGGAGATGGAAGATCATATCAAACTAGGGACAAGGAGATACCTTGCTGAATGCACAAACAACAGAGATAGAGGGAGGGAGAGAGGGAGAGAGAGAGGGGGAGAAAGAGAGGGAGAAAGAGAGAGAGAGAGGGAGAGAGAGAGGGGGAGAGAGAGAGGGGAGAGAGAGAGGGAGAGGGGAGAAAGAGGGAGAGAGAGAGAGAGAGAGGGAGAGAGAGAGAGAGAGGGGAGAGAGAGAGACAGAGGAGAGAGACAGAGGAGAGCATTGGTGAATGAATCCGTGACCCACAACCCTTAGTTGTGAGGATGGGAGGAAAACAAATGATTTGAAACATACAATGTATAAAGGTGGATATCACATTCATGTAACTTGACACTAACTTTAGATCTCTCCATAGTTTTGATACACCATGACGCTTGAGAACTTCTAAATAGAGTCAGATATGTATTTTATGCTAAAATAAATGAGAAAGTTATGTTGACACTTTGATACCAACTTTAACAGATTAATTAACACCACAGTTTTTAAGGTAAAAAAACATGGGTTTTTTCACAAAATTAATTTGTATAAATAATAATTCCCAAATATCACAATTGAAGAGGTTTTTTGTTTAATGTTAAAGTACATAAGAACATGTGGCACCAAACAAATGATTTGTGACCTGTCATTTCTAAAATACCAAAAAGCAGTCAGAATTCCTTCTCTCTTATTGTATGTTTGTGTAGAGATTTGCAGCTTTCCAATAATATTTACCAATTTGCTGGGACCAGAGGGGCTGTAACTTATAAATCTTACATGGAGACAGAATATTTAATATACATGTAAAGTATTACTAGGTAATGCTATAACTAACTCAAGATTTCCATTAAAATTACTATTCAGGTGCAGGTTTACCTTGTAAACAATGAACAATTAGTCTATGGATTACAGCATTGTATGTTCTCTTTTAATAAACTAAAATTAAAATCAAGTGAATTAGATTGAATAGAGTTAATATCATTTTAGCTCTCACCAGAGCTATACAGTTGATTAATTTTTTCTAACTATTAATAAATTAAATCTTACTAAAACCTTACCCCTTATTTTTCTTGTTATCTTTTTCACATAAATCACTATTTTTCCATCTGCTCAGGTTTCGATTGTGCAACCTGTCAGTGACTCTCAGGGGTTAGGCCACCACTAAAAGCAATAAGGTTATTCATGTTGAAAGATATGATTCAATATCCTCTGCCTCTCAGCACATTGAGGGGCATTCTGTCAGTGTAAGCTAGTAAATTTTGCAAAAATGGAAAGACCAGTACATTAACTAAAATACAAAATAAATCTTTTCCTGGTGAAGCCACATTTTGTTAAATTTGTTGATAAAAATGTAGATGCACTGAAGTAGTTTTTTTTTTTAACAATGAGTGCTGCAGACAACAAGACTTTCAGAATTCAATTTAAAAGTACCGTGTATGAAGAGCAAATTTAATCAGGACAAATGTCGCCAATTTAATAGTAATCATGTTTTTAAATTTGTTACTATACATGCCCTGTACATGTTCTCCAAATGTGCTATCATAACATGCATGTGGATTTCAATCTAGATGAAGTTTTTGCACAAGATAAGTATAAAGAAAATGTTGGCTCTGCTCTGTAACTATGTTGAGACATAAAATCAAATTAATTAGCGGTAGCCAATTCTCTTTATCAAATGGCAAAGATACAAACTGATAAAACAGCAGGTGTGAAGGTTTGAAACAAGATTGTTTTCAAAAGAATGACAGATTGTAGGACAAGATTAAAATGAAACTTTACTTCCTATGTCTACATTCTGTCACCTTGAGTATTTCAATCAACTAAAAGCTTTCAATATAAGGAGCCTAAACATTAGAAAAGATGGTGCCATTCTCTGATTAATTTGTATTCAATTCATTTTGAATATAGATACCATTTTATCATTTCCATATTTTTGGAAAGACAATTTTAAATGAAACTGATGGTACTACCATATTGATATTGTACAGTTCGTAATTTCAACTGATGCCTTACGTTACAAAGAAGATTTAAGGTATCATCCATTAAAAAAGTGGGAATTAGATAACTCCTCTGTTCCAGTGATGTGAACAGATAAAATGTTTCACAGTGCCATGTTTCAATTAGAACTGTACAGTATTACATTCCCCTTTCTATTTTGCACATTGTTCAATAATTACATTTTCACGTATTATGGTTTTGATGCAATAAATATTCAGTAGACTTTATGATTCTCATTTAGAGTTCTGTGTGTGTTGTAAAAAGAGATTTCTTACAGATAGAATTAAAAAATACTTTCTTCCCTTTAAAAAAAACAGAGCTCATAACTTCCCAAAGATTCTTCCTGTCTCCTTTCAAATATTTTAATCACTTGTACCATCACACTCCCTGTTCAACCAAAATAATGCCTGTACCCTACAGAGGAACATAGCCTTCAGTCAAGGACATTCCAAAGAATCAAACCTGTATATGCTCCAAATTGAGCTGCTAGTCTGGGATGTTGTTTTGCATTACATTGTTAAGTACATGCCACAAAAGTCAACTGGGCAGTCAGCCTACTATTTGTTCTACTAGTCAGCCAAATACTTCAAGCTTCACTCTACATTTGACGATGCAGTTGCAATTTGTGAGACACGCCTTACGATCTCCAATACAATATTTTTTAACATGTTTAAATCCAAAGAGTCTTTGAAATGGGGCAGCCTGGTGTGAAGACTAGCCATGGTGCTAGATAAGAGGGCAGGGACTGTGCACCTGTGTCAATTCTTACACCTTAGAATCCAGATTGGTGTCAAAGGGAGGGTCACTACCGTACACCACACAGAGTGTTAAGAGCCAAAAGGGTGTATAATCTAGGATGAAGTATAGGATTGAATGACCTTCTTGCTCCAAACACATGACATAACAACTCCAACCAAGCATTGGGGCAGATAATTACAAGCAACCTGCATTTGCTAACCACCAATTAAGATATCCATCTTTCTTTTCAATTTTGTTCTCTTGATGTCGGTGCTTGCCTATTTTTTATTCATATCAGCAATTTCTCGAACTGAGGAGCAGCTGGAAGGTTATATTGCTAATCTCGATAACCAACATTATGCAGAAAAGCATTTTTGTAGAAAACTGTGTTTCTAATTTACTATTCATACATTCATTTATTTACACCATTTCATTTATTTATTTGACTATTAATTTTATTCATTAATTTATTCATTGACATATTCATTCATTTATTACCGATCTCTTCATTAATTCATTTATTGATATATTTATTAATTTATTATCGTTCTCTTCATTCATTTATTCATTTAAATTGTGTAAAATATACTGATGGAAGATTTCAAATTGGAAAAATTATTAGTACATCTACATAATTAGTCACAAGTCTCTTTAAGAATTATCTACGGGACTTCTGAGATTGGAAAGAGATAACCATAACATGAGCTGACTTGCACATCACATGTACATTGCATGTGTGACAAACATTGACAATGGCAATCCAGTCCTTGTTCCATTCGTCAACCAAAGTCAGAAAAGAGTTGAACAAATTTACTTCTATTTCACAAAAATCCTTTCCGAGCCTACACAAATTTAACACTTGCTAAAGAAAGATTTGACTTGGCCATACAAGCTGACCTCACTCTCCATTTACATTTCAGACGACAGCCCATCATCATTTGGGAAAATAAATATTGATAATGCAGAAAGACAGCCTTGCCATTTTGTGGCATGATAATCACTCCCATTATTGTAATTATTCTGATTGGGCATTCTCTCTCAGGCTGTCCATCATCTTTATGCGATGCACCATGTCCATTTTACCCCCTGCAAGGGTAGAGAATTGAATCTCAATATATATACATGTAGTGTAATGATGTGTGTTGCAAACTATTGTCCATGTTTCTCCTCCATTTCTATGCATATCTCATACACAGATTATTGATTTCCACTGGCTTTTGCTCTGGATAGTACTATTGTAAATGACACAATGTGAGCTTACATGCATTTCAAAAATAACAAATTCTTCATTAAGTATAACAGAATCTATACCACAATATGTTCAAGACAACAATTGCCTGCAGGAAACAAAAAGGGTGTTCATTTTGGTGCATTGGTTAACTTTCCCATAAATACTTTTTGTCATTTGCTTATCTATTTTGTTATGTTGTATTAATGTTGTTTATAAATTCAAATTTGTCATGATTGTAAAGCGCATAGAGAAATTTTCAACTTATTATGCGCTTCATAAATATTCTCTATTATTATTATTATTCATAGTTTCTCACAAAAATGCCAGAATTGAACAAAGCTCTGTAGCCTTGCTAACAAACGTAAAACCATCTTTTAAGAAAAAAATCCAAAAAATGAATTTTGAAAAAAATGTGTGACACACACTGCCTACATATTTTTGTTTTTTTTTGCAGTAGTGGTAGGTTTCAAGGCTTTTAATTATCACATCAAGTTCTAAAGTCGCTTAAATGTTAAGGGAGGAAAGAAATAGTGACTCACCTATAATAAGAATTGGTTTCCTTGCGAACCTGAGACGCCCTCTGAGTCCTTGGTATTGCTGCCTGCAGCCTGCTGACCAGAGCCGAACCACGTACTCACAACTGAAGAAAACCACCAGAAATATTTCCTGTACCAGTTGAGCGGGGAACAAAAACGGGATCGGGTCGTGGAAAGAACAGGTAGAGAAATAAGGATACATGTCAAGGTTTAACTCGTCCCTAAACCCCCTTCCCATATCAGTAAACGGGATCGGGTCGTGGAAAGAACAGGTAGAGAAATAAGGATACATGTCAAGGTTCAACTCGTCCCTAAACCCCCTTCCCCTGTCAGTAAACGGGATCGGGTCGTGGAAAGAACAGGTAGAGAAATAAGGATACATGTCAAAGTTTAACTCGTCCCTAAACCCCCTTCCCCTGTCAGTAAACGGGATCGGGTCGTGGAAAGAACAGGTAGAGAAATAAGGATACATGTCAAGGTTTAACTCGTCCCTAAACCCCCTTCCCCTGTCAGTAAACGGGATCGGGTCGTGGAAAGAACAGGTAGAGAAATAAGGATACATGTCAAGGTTCAACTCATCCCCCTTCCCCCAAACTTAATCATGCCCTAATGTTCAATCTCACTAACAAGAAACCCTTTTAAAGCACATTACCACACCCCCAAATGTTCAACCTTGTAAGAACATAAAAGATCACTTTTTTAATGCTATAAGTCTATAATGTATTTTCTACACACAAAAAAGGTGAATTACCGGTATTTAACTTTCCTAAATTACAATGATTCTATCTGATTCACACATTTTGCAATCTGAACATTTTTTTAAATCTTTCCTTGGTTTCTAATCAACATATTCAATATATGAGGAGCATTCAATAAGTTCATAGCCTAACTATGAAGGAGCCAGTGTTCGATGAAGTAATTATGTCTTATAAATATTTATGGTTTCATTACAGGAGACAATATTGAAGTTCAGCAACACCACCACCTAGGTATTAGAGCAGCTGTTCAAATTGAAGTACCTGGGACTTTTGAAAAATTTATTAATATTGAATCTTACCTATTGTTAATCATATACATATTGATGATTATGTAAATGTATGCGCATGCATATTTGCTATCAGTTACCGAATACCTGCTCCTTCATAGTCGTGCTATCAACTTATTGAACGCCCACATACATGCCTCTTTTGCCCATCTCTCTCTCTCTCTCTCTCTCTCTCTGTCTCTGTCTATCTGTCTCTCTCTATCTGTCTCTGTTTGTCTGTCTCCCTCCCCCTCTCTCTCATCCTGCAACTCTTAGCATATCACTCAGCCTCTTGTTCTAACACATACATTCACATCACCTTTGACATCACATACCGGCTCCCAACAACCCTTATCTAACTGTTTACAAACCTAGACAGCTTTAACCTTTTCAAACAGGACTCCTTCACTTTTTCATGTTTATTAAACGTGTGACAATTCTGTGTTGGTACAGTACAGCTCAAGATAGATGGACGTCTCATTATCAAACACACTTCACAGATCAAGAGTACTCCTCGTTTTCTTTTTACGGGGCATTCACACAAAATGAAATTTAGACAAAATTTGTATAAAGAAAGTTGTGTGAAAAAACAAAGTGTTGCAAAAGAGGGCATACACATCCAATCAGAATATCGGTTAAAGAAATTTCAAATGGAACTAGCTTTGATGAGGTCAGCTTATATGTCATGGGCATTGTTTGAGTTTACAAAGTTAGATATAGCCAATCACATAATAAGCAACTTATATGCCCCGCCTACTTACATGTTTTTTTGTTTGATACAATATTTATACAGGCCATGCACCCTGATTCTATATTCAATAATTGTGTAGAGATACTCTAACCTCTTTTCCTCTTTTCAACTTTAAGAATGAAGAGATGATTGGTACTGCAAAAATAAAAAATAGCAACTAAAGCATCCTAAAGTTTTAGGTCTTGCATGCTTTATATTCAGGCTTGCAATTTACTCAGATGAGAGCAAGACAAAAAGCTTCAGTACCTCTTTATTCATTGCTATTCAACTTTTAATATACAAAAATAACAATACAGCATTAGCTATACAGTTTTTGTATAAGAAACCATATATTTCCCAAGTCTGAATGAGACATGAGTTGATACATGCTTCATGAATACACACATCATCCATGATGCACAACCATCATTCTATGTTCACAAATGCTTTCAATTTCAAGCACTTCTGCAATTGCAAGTACTCTGCAAAGAAGGATTACCTGATCCTGTGCCATTTCGAAAATGCAACAATGTTTATTCACCAGAGAGTGTTTTTTGCTGTTGTTTACTTTGGCAAGGAAAATGACCAACTTTGCCAAGATGAAAAGTTAATGTCAATTAAAGATGTAAGTTGTTGCTCATTCCACCCACTTTATTGCTCCACCTTCACCATTGTTAGAAGTGACATCCCTACTTTGCCAAAACATTTCAAATTCTTTGGACATTTGCAGGAAAAAACATACAAGAACAAATTTCAGCACAAAATGCTTTGTTTTGTTAATAAATTGAGCACAGAATATGCTCCATAGATACACCTCAGGAAATAGTAACTGTTTCTAATTCTATGAAGACGCTCTAAAGCAAATAAGTTGTTAGACATGCACATGTAATTTAGCCCTAGCAGAATTCAACTGCCACCAATGGCAAAAGTAGGAGTTAAAATACATGTACCAGTAGGTGTTGAAAGATCTAGATTATGGAATGTCAGAAATTACTTGGTGTGATGGATGTGGAATATCTAACAGAATTTTTTTTTTAATTTACCATTCTAGTCATTATGATGTGTCTGACTCTTCCTTTCTTGTTCTTTGGCAGACAATTTGACAGAAAAAAAAAGAGTAATTAACATTAGATTCATATCTTAATCGATATAGAACCATTGGAGAATATCAATGATGGGTACCGTAGCTGGAGACATAAAAATTGATTGATGAAAATAAAACAACATTGAATTATGAAAAATTGACTGGTCTCATTTATTCTCTGTATTAGCCAGATGGTATCAAGGATGCCCTTTCATTTCATTTCTCTTTCCTTTCTTTTGTATTTTTTTTAGATTTGAGTCTAATTCTGAAAATCATTTAATCTATTGTTTTGAAGACAGCATGTTAAAGACCATATCCGACCTGAAAAATGAAATGGATGAATTATATATCAACAGAAAACTTATAAGCCATAGATTACAATAATATCAATTATATGCCATTTTAGTTTCTGTCAAAGGAGTATCAGCTTTCTGAAAACTCAAAATCCAAAGCTTATACAAATCTGAAGTTGTTGGCCTAAATCAATTTGATGACATCATCTTATATGGCATACGCATATTCACAAATCCTAAACTTCTGATGCATCACCCACTCTTAAAATTCATTCAAACCCCTTCTCTAGAGTAGACTCCACTATAATTTTGAGTGGATTCAAAGTGAGCTCTAATATGACACCTAGTAGTGTGTGTTTATATTCCTCTAATGTAATGTAATGTAATCATTTTGTTTACCAAGAGAAGCATTATCAGCTTGAACGTTGTTCTTCCGACGGGCCCTGCAATTATTATTACCCGGCCCAGCGATGCCAGGTACCCATTTACACCTGGGTGGAAAGTGGCAAATGTAGATTAATGTCTTGCCTAATGACGTTAGCGCCCGACTAAGATTTGAATCCTAAAGCCGTGGATTGAGATTCAAAGGATGGGCCACTATACCACGACACCTGCACAGCATTAAGAGAGTAGTGGATACTTGTCAAAGAACGTTCACTGAGCCAATATGTCAGCTCAAGTATAACATGCTAAATATCTAGCATGATCTAGCATGATTACGTCTCCTCTCTCCTTCGTTATTTCAATGCCCCAACCTTAATTGTATTCTTCTTTTTTTTAAACACCTAACATCTTTTTTTACATGGGCTACCTTGCCCATTATACACCCATTCGGGCGACTTCTGGTGGAAGTGCGCCCTCATAAGGTGACGCCATAACTGGGGGGCGTCTGACTGCAGCTAGCTAGCTTACATTGCAACGGGTATGCTATACCTATACCGAACCTCGCCCAGGTCGGCCAGGGTCGCTGCTCCGCTAGCTAGTAACCGCTCTCGAGCTCTCTGTACTGTCAGCTGGATCGGAGAAGCCCCCCAGTTATATAGTGCCGCCACCGGCGGGCAGGTACATAAAACCCCCAAACCGAATCGGTGTATAGGCCTCTATTTCGTTTTAGATATTTCTAACAAACTATTTTATTGTAGAGTGTAATATTATTTAATTATTTACCCCTCAATATTTCTTTCACCAATATTTCTATGTATTACTTTATTTTTTTTCATGCACTTTTGTACTTCCCTATGATGGCTTCGTGAGACAAAGTTCCCAGTAATATATTTGATTAATTGTTATGGAGCATAGATAATACAAAGCATGGATACGGTAAGTACAAAAACAACAAAATATAAGTAAATTATTGTGTTTAAACAAAATCCATGCTGACATGTGGCATGAATCTACATAGGGCTGATAGTGAGCGCTAAAAAAAAGTGGGTCTTTTTCCCCTCGACCACACCAGCTTTGAGAAAAAAGAAAAAAGAAAAAGAAGGGGGGGGACTCCGGAAGACAAAAAATGGCGTCTTACAACATCTTCCCCCCCCCCCCCCCCCCCCCTTTCGAGTAAGAAAATTGGGATAAAATAGGGGAAAATATTGGAAAAAAGAGACAAAATTGGGAAATCAGAATAAAATCGGGCAGGAAAAAAAATCAGGAAGAAAAACAAAATCAGGAAAAAATCGGGGGAAAAATTTTGTAATTATCAGGCCTGTCTACATTTGTCACTCTCTACCCAGGTGAAGTAAAGTGATACCTTATAGGAATAAATGCATCAGCACCAAAATGATCATGGTAGCTTGGCTATTAAAAGCAAGATTAATGATATGATTGCAGGGCCCTTCGGGGGAACAGGATTAATACTGATCAAGAGACACGGGGTAAACAAGACACATTATTATTACAATTATTATCAATAGCAATGACGATGTTGCTCATGATAATTGTAACGAAGATGATGAATTTACATGAGAAGTAAACTAAACAGGACTAGGGAAATAATGATGAGATGATGATGATGATGATGATGGTGATGATGATGATGATGATGAATTTACCTGAGAAGTTAACTAAACAGGACTACGAAAATGATGATGATGATGATGATGATGATGATGATGATGATGATGATGATGATGATGAATTTACCTGAGAAGTAAACTAAACAGGACTAGGGAAATGATGATGAGATGATGATGATGATGATGATGATGATTATGATGATGATGGTGATGATGATGAAGATGATGAATTTACCTGA